GGCGGCGCCGCAGCCGCACAGCGGGCCCGAGAACGTGTCGGTCGTGATACCCGCCAAAACACCCAAAAAACTTTGAGCGCGGGTTGCGCCGGGTTGCCTTCATCGCACAGGCCTCGGGTTTTTTCCATGAGTATCAGCATGAAATAAACTTTCAGAAAAACCTCCCTCTGGCATAGGTAATTTTTTTTGAAACAGGGCAATTCCTGGCGTGACGTACGGACGTTCGTACGCAAAAAAAAAGTTTGTTTTAATTTTTTGACAGGGTAGACGTTGACCAATATAGTCATCACTAGGTGTTTCTGAAAGTGCTTTTCAAGACCTTTCCGATGGTACCACGTAGACTTCTGTGCGGTGCGCTGTTTTGTTTTTATTGATCGTGGAAGTAGACGTGACGTACGGACAAAAAACGGAAGTGGTTTTCGACATGGCATCACCTAACCCCAAAATTGAGCGAATTGAGATAGGCTAAAAATAAAAGCAGGGCAGCGTCTTGTGAGCAAAGGATCAGGCTAAAAGCCGGCACTTTGCTCGTCATCAAATTCGACTCCGTTTTCCCGCTATAGACAAAAAAGTAGCGTGACGTACGGACACAAAAACTGTGACGTACGGACACGTACGAATGCGTTTTTGGCCTACTTTGAACGGTCATATCTCCTAATCGGTTGACAACAAGCGCTCTTCTTAAGTGCAGGCCTGCAGCCACATCAACCGTCGAGGTGTTCCCAAAGTCAGAACGTTTCTAACATGCTTCGCCTCCCTACAAATTGGGTTCAAAGTTGGTTAGGCACTGAGGAAAATTGCTCAAATTTGGACTTTTGTGTGTAAAGGCAGTTGTCTATTGCTGACTTCAAAAACAGACCAAAGGGTGTCACATACGGCTTGTTCCAATTCATACTCAAAAAAATTAGAGCTTTAACTATTCAATTGACTCGATTCAAAAAAAAATGATGGCCTTTTTACTTCCGCTTTTTTCAGGAATTGCCCAACAGCCTAGGGGGGGGTCATACCATTCCGAAACAAAGACATTTTTAACGCACTACATATGCTCTGCGTAGCTGGACCTGTCCGAACCAACCGCGCACCGTCAGACCGAGGTGTCCATTACACCAAAAGTAATATTTAATCTGTCAAAACTGTTTTGTCG